GAGTTTCTTTCCCAAAAAAAAAAAGAAAAAAAAAAAAAAAAAAAAAAAAGAAACGGAAAGAAAACAGAAATGTGAAACAATTATATAAAACTAAGCCAAACAATTTTGTCCTAGAAGCTGAAAATATAAATAAGTATTATTACTTGGTAAAGTGTTGTACAACATAATAGTGTTATTAATTATTGAGATTATGTGTAAGTAACCCAATGGATAGAATTGAAAGAAGATATGATTGAGTGAAGATTACAAATAAGATATATAAGACATTGAAAGAATAAACAAAATGATCAAGTGGGGTTTGACAGAGACAGGATTCATGATAAATTAATGTTTCAAAGCCTTGGAAAATAATCTTTGGAAGAAACAAGAAACAAATATTTAGAAGCTAAGATGATTTGTTTAACGGCTAAAAAAACTAGTTTCGTTTGCAATTGTTTACCACCCAAAAGAAACAAGGAGAAAAAAACAAATAGATAAATAATGTATTTGTTAACAAAAAGAAATTCAGGCAGAACAAAATTATAATAAGGAAATAGAAAATCCTGTTCTTCTTTTCAAATTTACGCAGAGAGAGAGAGAGAGTTTATTCAACTCCTTTTGAGCTGTGGAGAGGTTTGGATTGGTGTTTCAGAATTGTAAATTTGCCATCAGAAATGTGAAGAAACTTAAATATAAATTAGAAACGAGGGCATAGCAAAGGTTTTTTTTTTTAAGTCGGGGTGAATTTTAAAGTATGTCTAAACATTAGGGTGATAACTACAATATGCACTAATTAGAGTTCCTTTGAAATTAACGTTTTCACTTTCCCCATTTCCGGGGTGTCTGGGGTTTGACGTTTGAGATCCTCAAAGCTGATCTTTTGTGATTTTGATCCCAAGAGTCAAACAAAATCAATCTTCATATCAAGTCTCTCTCTTTTTTTCTTTCTTTTTGTCCCTTCTTTTATATATATATATATATATATATTGCTGGCAGCTATGTGAACGTGGTAATTTGTTGAGTTTACTGTCCAAGTCGCCCTTTTTTGCCGTTGACGTCATTTTTAAGGATTCTATCTATCGTTCATACATGGGTGTCGTGTTTCTTCCATTAATGTCGTTTCCTATATTTTTTTTTCCTCCTCCAAAATTTTGGTTGTTGTCGTTTCTTAAGTTATTTTCCCTTATAACTTTTGTGATTGCGAATTTTAAGGCTGTTGTCGTCTATGAGGTTAATGTCGTTTTCCCTTACTATTACTTTATTTTTCGGTTGGAGCATTTTGGGCAATTTAAAAATTTTGATGGTTAAAGGGTTTACTCAAAGGGTGGCACTATAGAATTTATTTAAAGTCAGGGGCTCCAGTGTAATAAGCCTTAAAAAAGAAGCTGAATTGATTTATCGCTCTACCCTAAACCCTAAAAATTGCAGTCTTCGATGGTTACAATTCGACTTAGCTGTGTATTTTTTTGTCCCAAAGAAAATAAAAAAGGTGAGTTTTTTTCACTTATTAGTTTGCCAACGAAACCAGGATTAATCGAAATAATCAAAAATTCAAAATCCGAAAACCCATTTCCAAGATCAAAAATAAAAATTGAAACTTGAGAGAGAGAGATTTTGTTGGAAGTTCTGAGTTCAGAAGCCAATGGAATTCTGCCCAACTTGCGGGGTCATGTTGCTATATGAGCTTCCAGATCGGGGCCGCTCTGCAAGATTTTACTGCCCCACATGCCCTTATGTCTGCTCCTTAGAAAGCCGGGTACATTATTATATAAATCTCATCTTATTATTAATCTCTCTGGTAAATTGTATATTGATCGATTTATGTGTTCGAGAACTATTTATGAGTGGATTTGAATTGGGTTTTGTTTGTTTTGCAGGTTAAGATAAAGAGAAGGCAACATCTTGTGAAAAAAGAGATTGAACCGGTCTTTTCTCAAAATGATCTGACGAAAGGCCCCCAAACTGATGGTTTGCAATCTTTTTGTTCTGATCTGTTGTTGTTTAATTCTGGGTTTAGTTTGTTATTATTGTTTATGTTTTTGTCTTGTCAAATTTTGCAGTTGCCTTTGCTCTTAATCTTTTGATGGTTTTGTTGAAGTTTTCACTTCACAAGTTGTTGATGGAATGAGTTTCTAGGGGTTTGGACAGAAGAGAAGTATTTTAAAAATGAATATGATGCCATGGAAAGTAGAATTTGGATGAGGGCACAACGAATAAATGTCACTTTGAATGGTTAATTATGCGTGACACTAAAACAGTTCTTATGTTCTGATTTAATTTGATGGTTTAGTAGGCAGTATTTATGGACCAGGGAGATATAATTGTGTAAACATTACAATTCAAGATGCTTAAAAAATGAATAAGCTTTGTTGGAGGGGTAAATTTGATTAGGTCAAGTTGAACATTACAAGCTAAGGCTTTCACTTTTGGACCAGGGAGAAAAGCAAGAAAGAATTAGACTATGGTTTGGGGAAAGTGCAATTCTTTGTGCTTAAACGAAAAGGCCTTTGTTGAACAAGTAAAAATTGATTAGGTCAAGTTGAAATTTACAGGGTAAAAATTGAACTTTTTTGGTGAAATTATTGTTCTTGGTTTACCCAGGATTGTTCCTTTGTGACTACATTGTTTTACTGATCTTAACAGGAAAAACTCAAATTTGATGGTTTAAGCATAGAACAATAATCAGGCTGAATAAAATAACAAGTTTATGTTGTTGTTAACCTTTGAACAATCATTGGTCTAATTGCTAAACAAAATTTTTTCTTTTTTGTTGATGCTTATTGTATATTACTTATAGAACTTTCCAAATGGCTTATGATTCTGTTATTTCATAACGGTTCTTCCTTGTTCTGTCAGTAACATGTCCAAAATGTGGTTATGGAAAGGCTGCATATGAGACGATGCAAACTCGTTCTGCCGACGAGCCAGAGACAATATTTTATGCTTGCTTGGAGAAGAGCTGTGGGCATATTTGGCGTGACTAGGACTTTCATCATCCGAATTAATACGATTGGAGGAGATTTTGGCATTTTTTAGTGGTCATGTCTTTTATTTACACCAGTTTTCAACTGTTCTGCTTAAGAGTTTTGACCTTTCCAGGATAACTTTGAATCTTGGTCATTCGATTGTAGACTCAAGTAATTTTATAAGCAGTTTTTTTCTTCTTTATTGTGGACCGTCAATTTACGTTATTTGTTCTTGCACTTATAATGAATAATGTGCTGTCAAGTTTAAATAAACCTGACTTATGTAATACCCTTCCCAAATTCTGGTCCTAAGCCCTGAAAAATTTTTTGCACTTGGTATTTTCCTGTTGTGTATTTGATTTCCATCTGACGTCCAATGTCATTTCATTTCTTGGTTAAAATTTAAAACATTGCTTAACTGGAAATCAACATTTCTGCCCAACATATTTATTTTGCTCAATCTCTTGCATTTCGTGAAACGTTCGTGCTACCGCGCCTTCTCCTTCATGTTCCATGGCAAAATCAAACACCTATAAGAATCAAATTCAGGAACTCATTTTTACACGAGTAAACAGAACTTTGGACTAGATAAAAAGCCGTTTTTAGGGGGAAAACAAGGAAACAATTATGTACACAACAATGAGATGATTTCAGCTATAGTTGAAAGAAAAAGGAAGTTGTCAAGTCCCTCTAATGAGCAGCCAGCTTCTTCTTTTCTATCCATCTTCTTCTGGTAGCCTCTAATGCCTCCTCTTTCATCTTAGAGAGCTCTTGAAACCAACGTTGATATTGTGCCTCAACGGAAGCTAGTTCCAACTTTAACTCAACATCCGGGTCTTTACCTGCCAAGGATAGTGATGAACAACTGCCTGCCAAGCTGAAAAGATTCGATACTCCGTTGTGGCTGGGCAACTGTAACTCCAAGTTCTTCGCAAGCTCCTTCAATGGAATGCAAATCCTTGCGTTAGTAGCATTTCCTTGCAAATTTTTGTCAACAGAACATGAATCTCCGACTTCTAGTTCGGACCCACACCAACTTGTCCCCTTACTGCTTCCATTGAAATTGCAGTCGACAAATTCATCAGTTTTGTCATTCCCCTCGGAAGCAACCGATTCTAGACAATGTTGATCTACAAAATTTGCCAAACTTGGACATGAGTTGGGGCGACGTTAGGAATAAAATAAGCTTTATACATTATTATGAAACAAATTAGAGATTACCTTCCTCAGTCTGGGAGGACCATGTTGCTCGAGTTGAGGAGTAATCAAATGAGGGCTTCCAACCAGGGAGAAGCCTCAAGATCAAGTAATCTATGAATTCAGCAATGAAGACAACATCATGATCTGCTAATTCTAGTTGTTCGACCATCTCGCTCGCAACTGAGAGCGCCGTATCCGTGTTGAGGTAAAAGAGAAAATGTATATTTCTAACTTGACCTGAGAGTAACAAAACCAAACCACGTTATTAGATCATTAAAATAGGAATGATAGTCTCCCATCTCTGGTAAGAATTCTTACCATTTAAGTCAGCAATGCGCAAGGTCAACGATACAGTATTGTCATCGTTTTTCTTCCCTTTTAGCCTAAACTCATTGTTTTTATTAGCCCTTTGAAATTCCAAAACTGAAGCTTCTGGACTCCCAATGGTGCTTGTGCATGCGCTTACAGAAAGCTGCTTATAATCAGCATCTATGTCCATGGAAAGAGGTCCAGATTTTGGTAAATTTGACGCTTTGAAACTCTGATTAGGCAGCAATAGGGGATCACGAGTCGGTTCTTTTGGACTTTCTACTTTAAGGAAAGGGTCTTCAAGAAGCTCCTTTGCAGATAATCTCTCAGACGCTGGAACCAAGCATTTCTCAATGAACTCTTTAATTTGGGGGTCGCTCACCTTGCCAAGAGCAGCAGGTTTAATGCCCTACAGTAGAAATCATCAAAATATGCAAAATTTTATGATTGTGTTCCGATATAATAGCAAGAAGATGGGCATATTGATAAGCAAACAATTGCTGAACTTACTGAAGAAACCTTCTTATAGATTTGAACTGGATTTTTGCATTCGCTGTATGGATACTCGAAAGTAACCATCTCCAATATGCACATCCCGAAAGAATATATGTCGACTAGTTCATTGTATTTCTCTTCATAGAGCTCAGGAGCCATGAACTCGGGAGTTCCTAATGCAAAGAAAAAAAGAACACACATTTTTTATTAAGCCAGTCTGATTAGGATATAGCATCTAACGATCCGAAATTTTTTTTTTTACCAATTACACTTTGAGCAGCTGGCTGTTGCATGACAATTGCCAATCCAAGGTCTCCAATTTTAACCTCTCCATGATTACCATTAACAAAAATATTGTCACATTTTAAGTCCCTGTGAATAATAGGAGGGTTATGGCTGTGAAGAAACACTAAACCGCGGAGTACTTGTCTAGCCCAGTTCTTTATAGCCTTCACGTCGATATTCTTGTGCTTCTTGCGGTATCTGGGAATCAAAAAGTAGTGCTTCAATTGCATGAAATGCAGCCAAACAACAAGATAAAGAATGATAAATTATCAGAAGACACAGAATGACAAAGATTCAGAAATACTTACTGCCTTAGATTCCCAGAGGTGAATAGCTCAGTGATCATGTTAATAGTTTTCTGCTTATCATCCACCCATGAATTATAGAACTTGATGATATTTTCATGTTTCAATGATTTCAGAAGATGAACTTCAGAATACAATTTTTCCAAATCTTCCGATGACAGCAAGACGTCGTCAATCCTAACTTGGTTCCAAGCAACTTCTATTCCATCAACTTCATCAAATGCCTTATAACTGCGGCATCGAAACAAGGAACCGGAGCAGGACCGTTATGGATGTTCTTGAAATCTTTCTAGATAGAAAGAATGCTTGCATTGAAATAGCATCCAAAACAAGCCTAAAAAATAATAAGGAAAAAAAAAAGAGAGAAAAGAAAAGAGAAGATGTCTTGGAACGTACACGGTCTTGAATGCGCCCTTGCCCAAAATTTCATTGTACTGTGATCAATTAAATAAACTCAGTAAAGAATAGAGTTACTAGATAAAAGAGACAATACTTGGTTATCTTTTTGTAACAAGTAATAACAGAATGTTCTATCCACAAGAATTTTTCTCTTCCATTGCTTTCATTTACATAACACTTAATTGTCAGTTGAATTAGAGGCTTGAACATTTCTTTCTTCTTCATTTTATAATAAATAATTGTCATCAACTACAAAATCTTTGGCATTTCAAATGTACGTACAAATTGTAATTCTCAATCAAAATATAGATTTCTGTCAAGACATTCTTTTATTTAAACTAGATGACAGAGAACATCAGAAGGGCCAGTATATAATGGAAATCTAAAGCCACTAGCCCAAAAATTCATTGAACAAATCAAAGAAAAGTTCAGCAGTTGAAAATACGTCTCCAATATAGATCCATTACACCTTAATTAGAAGAAACATTGAATTTCAAATTTTAATCTGCAGCTCATTGTGCTCAGACATGCATTGCCATAAAAACCACATTGCAGCTTAACGCATCCATAACAAAGTTATAAATAAATTTCAATCAAAAACCAAAAGAACCCACATTTTATTCATAGAAATCCAATCCAAATCAATATGTTTGTGTGTGTGTGTGTGTTTGTGTTTATATTACCCGAAGATATCTATTTGTTGGATCTTTCTCTACAAAATCAGCCTCGGAATCAGGAGGCCCCATCGTCCCACACGTTCCATTGTTTGCCGGTAATCCCAAATCAACAACCCCTTTACTCATTTCCCTGCTTAATCAAACAAACCAAACAATAACAGAAAAAAGAAGAGAGAGAGAGAGAGAGACAAAACAACTTCTTTCTATAATGTCGTTCCAAATTTTTTGGAAGGTGGGTTGTTTTTTTTTTTTTTTTAAACGATCATCGCAACCGTCATAAATCGACGAGAAAACGACGACGACGC